ACCTGAATGTCCTAAAAAGATGTTAAGTAAAGTCTGGCACAGCCACACACAAAACCACGCTGCGTGACTATTGGTGGATATGGAAATATCCCTAACAGTAAGCGCAAAAAACAGGTCATAAACCAAGCACACGCGATCACATTAAGTTCTTTTTAAAGTGTGAATGCAGAGAAAAAGGTGATCGCTTTGGGTGATTCACTATAATACTTTTTCTGCTCCTATAAGACGTAACATTTATTTTTCATAAAAACAGTAAACTATCTTTAAAAATAATTTTCTGGTTGGCCTAGCCAAACCTCACAAGATCTCGCTATGTGGTCAGACACTCAGGAGTACTTCAGTGTTGACCCTCGGACGGCCTGGACAGTGCCAACAGAAGCTGCCATGCCAAGCAGCCACGGGGGGGTGGGGGCAGCAGGTCTGAAAGCCACCTATGGACTCATTGAGCTACTGGCAGGTCCACTTAGTTGGTACAGACTCGAAGGTGGTTACCAAGAACCACCCCGGAAGCCTGCCCAACCTGACAGCACTGACCAGCCAGGAACTGTCCGTGACCCTCGTGTGTTGGTGCAGAGACTGTACTCCATGGTGCGCCCGGCACAGTGCTTCCTTCGGCATCTACTGCAGGTCTCAGCCGCAGCAACGGGACTTTCCACCCCACAGCCCATCACCACGTAGCTCAGACCTCGCTCTATTTACCCTTCTTCCACTGGACCGATGTCAAGCACCACCCCCAGCCGCAACCCCACCTGCTTTGTCCATCCTGGATTCTCCCACAATGCACTGCAGGCAGGCTAATGCATGGTCAGCCTCAACTGCCAGGCACAGTGCCCATCAAGGAAAAAGGAGTCAACCACTCTCTCCTCTTTCCTCCAGGCCAAGAAACAAGATAGAAGACCTGCACCAAGGTCCAGATGTTGGAATTAAGAAGCTCTGCTTCTCGTCCTGCTGAAGGATGGCACCCACCCCTGCCTGCGGCTCAGGCAGCACTAACTCCCAAGGCCAAAGGCCTCATTTGGGTTTCTTAGCTGAAAACACCAAGCAACAGGCACCTTCCCAACTCATTAACTTGTGGGTGCTGACGTCTCCAGGCCTAAGCACTGCCCACCAGTCTCAGGTTGCCATCTCTGAGCCAAGAGAAGAATGCTGCCCGCAGCCCGTGGCTGTGAACCAGTAGAAGCGTGCCGTGAGCCGGCAGAAGCGTGCCGCGAGCCGGCAGAAGCGTGCCGCGAGCCGGTAGAAACGTGCTGTGAGTCGGTAGAAGCATGTTGCCCCAGTCAATGCCAGGAAAAAGGGCCAGCGCACAAAGAAGGCCCAGAATTCCTGGCACCTGCAACCCCAGTGAGCACTGGAAGGGCCAGCCAGTTCCAAGCAAGGTACGTACACATGCCACCTTCTACAAAAGGACACCCATCACGGATGGGGCGGAGCCATACTCAGCCAGCCTGATGTGGCACAGGTCCTCTCTTCAACATTCGAGAGTCCAGCAAACTACTGGGCAGGTCAAACAATGTCTGATGTGAACATGGCCAGAAGGCCACAGGTAAGGCCAGAAGCCCAAGAATGACACCTGACTCCCCGAAGAGCAGCACCCTGCCACCAAGCTGGACAAACATTCACAAAAGTGAAGCAGAGGACTCAAAACCCAGGAAGATCACTGAACCCAAGCCACTCTGCCACAGTGCAGTCCTCAAACTCATAAATACACGTCTGTTTTGGTCAGCTCAACATGGCAGTAGGACCTGAATGTGCTAAAATGAAAGGGGCTTAAAAGAGGTTACATTTTCCTTCTACTGGAAACGAAGGGTCATCCAGTCACCACACTCCCCACCCAAGAGTCAGTAACACTCCGCCCTGGACTCACCTCTGCATCTCCTGGGGTGGACCCTACACAGGGAGCGGGGCTTACACTCCCACAGTCCCGATACCAGACGGCGTCTGGGCAACAGGTGTTAAGTACATGAACGCACAGTACAAACCAGTCTGCTGCATGTCCAATAAAGGTAGGGAACAGCTTCCGCTGCGGAAGATGAGAAATCGTGAGATGCTGGTGGTGACGGCTGCACATGGACGGGAATGTGCCGTTGACACCGCCATATGAGTCCTTTCCAAGTGGTCGTCTTTGTCAGGCATATCTTACCGCAATGTACGTAAGTAAATGTAGTATGATGGGCATATCTAGGAAATGACCTGGAAGGTTATGATCGTAAGAAAGTGGGGGTTCTTCCCCTGTAGGAACCCAGTGTACCCAAGACGATTCAGCCAACCAATAATCTTTAAACACGATTGTGAAACCCACAGGGACACTGGAGCATGGACAGGGATGAAACCTGTGTGCAGTGTGGGGACACGTGACTGTGGCCACCAGCGGCCACCAGCAGCACAGATTGCTGACCATACACTCAGCCCCGGGAATGAGTCAGGAGGGAAGGAGACAGATGGACAGAGACAAGAAGACAGGCAGAGGCACGAGGAGCAGCAAGTCAGCAGGGCAGAGCGAGTCAGCTGACCCAGGAGGAACTACGAGGCCTGACCAAGGGCTTCCAGGTCTCACAGAACACACACAACTTCACAGCATGAGAGCTGGGCCCGGGCCTTGCTGGGTGCCTGTGCTCAGGCGGGGGCCCCTCTGGCCTGTTTGATGAGGGCCTAGCATACTTTACACCTCCAGGGCAGTTCACCTGGCCCCTCTGGCCCCCACCAGGCCTAACACCTTATCTGGGCTCTCCCAGCCCCTGGTGAAGTGCCCGGTCCCCATCGCTGTGACTGTCCCCACATACATTCTGCAGGGACCCAGTCTCCGGACACGGCGGGCACTGCTCCACGGCGCGCCAGCACCGGCTGGGGCTAAGGAACACGGGGGCACACCAGCAGACAGCATTTCCATACCGCCTGTCTGCAAGGAGGGCTGCCAGGGACAGGACACAGGTGGATGAGACGCAGAGAGTGGTTTCTTTGACCGAGAAGTAACAGCCCAGGAGCGGCCTGCAGAGTGTTAGGTGTAAGTGTGCTCGGTGCTGTCTCCCTTACACCTGAAACCTCCCGCGCACACGTGCACAAGGCCACACCCACCCCCGTTCGCACTCCCGGCCCAGTTCTTTCACGCTGAGGCCAGTGTTCCCTCTGGACGGAGGTGTCTCCAGTGGTCAGGGGACAATCCATAAAACGGCAGGGCTCTGAGTGCAAAGTCACACCCCTGAATCTCCGGCCAGGCAGAAGGACCAGGACCTGAAAGTTTCCCGGGACCAGCGCACCAGCTCCCCCCCCCCCCCGCTCCTGCCCAGTGCCTGCCAGGAACAAACAAATACCACAGAGATAAACCCTCTTACAAGAAAAGCGAAACAAGTCTATCTGTTAACAAAAACTAACTGTTGAATTAAAGGTTGCAAGTTCAAACACAATCTGCCTATTGTAAACAGTGCCTCAGTTTATCAATGTAACAATAACTCTCTTTCAGAGATTGATCAAGTTCTCTGCAAACACTCCCCCTCCAGCATTTTTAAGATACTTTACAGGATAAATATTAGCTTGGGACTTGCCTCCCGGAGAAGTGAAAGCTGCCAAAGTAGTAGTTTCACAAAGAAAAGGAGAAGAGCCGGCCGGGCCAGCGCAGCTGCGCCCTGAGCTCGCCCTGCGCCCCCCCTGCTCCCTGAGCTCACCCCGCGCCCCCCCCGCTCCCTGAGCTCGCCCTGCACCCCCCCCGCGCCCCCCCCCGAGCTCGCCCTGCGCCCCCCTTGCACCCTCCCGGGCCCACCCCTGCATCCCCCCTGGGCCCACCCCTGCGCCCAGCAGAGACGGCGGGGCTGCAGCAACTGTCCCCGGGGACAGACAGCACTGCAAAGTGGAGATAGTTAAAAGGAGAGAAGGAGAGATCTTAAGATAACTGTAGAGATGAAAAAGAACAAGGAACATTATAGCTTAAATTTCATTTGAGCTCAATTTCTTGGAAGACAGTCAAGTAGCCTGGGTGACCAAATGCAAACAATGAGCAAAGTGTGGGCCAACCCCCAACACCACAGGGACCTGCCATCAGCAGCCACCCCACAAACCACCAGGCTGGGTGGGCGTGCGGCAGGTGGGTCTGTGCTGCCAGTTCTCACCACAAACTCTAGGTGTCACTTACCCTTAGTCACCTGGGAGATCCCTTCACATTCAAACACCATGGCTTTACCTCCACAGGAGCCGGGAGCGACTCAGGACAAAGCCAGGCCTGCCACCGGTGACATGAAGGGCTTTCCTGGCAAGTGACCGGCTCAGTGAGGCCAAGAACATCCACCAGGGTCACTGGGGGTGGGCTGCAGAGCCAGGCTCAGCCAGGGTCCTGCAAGACCAGGTCCAAGGACCTCTCTCCTGCCCCCGCCTGCCATGCCCTGCTCGTCCGCTCCCCCACGGGCCTTCTGAAACAGCGGTGCTGAGCTTTCTCGTCCCCACACTGCACCCGAAACAAGTGGAGCTTCCTGACCGCACCGCAGAGAACGGTGCGGAGAGATGATGGCCAAGCGCGCGTCACAGACCGTCTCTTATGACAGTGTGGCTCCATACTGCCCTTCAGCTCCCATCTGTGCTTGGGGACACCTACAAGACTGTCCTGAGGACTAGTGACACAGGTGATCACCAGGGCGACAAAAGGCAGCAGGTCCTCAAGAAGGGGATGCTGCCAGCAGAGTCCTCAGCTGGAGTGAGGAGGCCACGCCGATGACATTCCGTAAGACACGAAAATGTCCCGTGTGAACCAAGTGCTTTGTTCAACTGCACCGGGGCACGTGGTCCAGGGCCCAGCCCTCAGAGCAAGGGCGGGGAAGCCGAAGCAGCCTCACACCGAGGACCGAGGCACTGAGCAGTCCTCGCGCTGTGTGGCTGGCCCAGAAGGACATCTAGCAGTGGCAATATCATTGGTTTTATGAGGCTCTTTACCCCAAGTTGCCACTACCAGGAAGAATTTTCTTTTCTTTTCTTTGAAATACAGATATTTAGGTTACTAAGGATTTCCACTCAGTTACCTGAAGTGAGTGTGGCCTGCTATGTCGCTGTGCAGGGCCCGTTCAAGCCGGGACAGCCTCCACACCCTGCCACTGGGACACTGCCTGGGAGGGCTGGTGTCAGCTAGGTGCACAGGCGCACCGACGAGCAGGCCGCATGGACACGTAGCGCCGGGGTCCAGGACAGCCCCTACCAGGCACCTAGAACGGGGCAGGTAGAAGGGTTAGAAGGACACCGCTCGGCACAGGCAATGCTGGAGAAAGCTGAGCCAGAGGAAGAGGAGGCAGCTGCGCCCAGACTCCAGGCAGCACAGGGCAGCTGGCTCACCCACCGTGAAAGGCACTTCCTGGTGAGGGGGATGGCACGGCCTGCCCTGCCCTTTCATGGGGACACCCACCGTGGAGAGCACAGCAGATTCGGCCAGCCTGGGGTGGGAGTACTGTGCTGCAAACCCAGGGTGGGGAGGCTGGGAAGGGGCCACCAGTACAAGCAGGGGGCAGGAGCACAGACTTGACCTGGGTTAGCCAGGAGCTTCAAGACACCTGGAGCAAATGTAAGACCAGGCAGGAGCCTCCTCTGGACATGGGACCACTGTAGAGGCTGGGAGGAGCTCAGAGATGGGCCTGCCCCACCCAAACCTCACAGGGGAAGCAGGCCAGGAGGCCAGAGGCTTCTGGCGAGAGTGACAATGAGCAGGGTGACCTTGACATCAGCTCCTCCTGCCCTTCAGGTGTCCTTGTCCTGACTGGGGAGGAAAGCGCCATACACAAAGCAGCCATCCTGTATTGTGCACCATGACCGATGACACTGGTCCCTTGGCCTGTGGGCCCCTCCTCTCCAGGATGTCCTGCCTCCACCTGGACGCCTGCCCCACTGGCAGCGGCTTCCTGAACCAGTCGCTCACTCCTCCACTTGCCACTCTGTCCCCAGCACGAGGACAGCTAGGACGAGAGGTGACGCTGTGCTCAGCTCAACCCCTCCTGCTATGGCTCCCTCCTCCTCCAAAACAGCAAGCGTGTCCCACTCATCGTCCAAGGCCATGGCTACAAACGGCAGACAACCTCCAAGAAGTTAGCTGCCTTCCCGTGGAGGCAGCCTCTGAGATTTGGACAACGTCGCACCAGTCTGCAGGGTTCCCCTGGTGCCAGGACAAGTGGCCACAGGTTTGGGGCCTGAGCTGGTTTCCTTTCCTCCTGACCCCCCAAGGCTGCTTCTCAGCTGCGAGCGGGACCAGCTGGGTGAGGCTGGAGTCAGAGGTGGCAGAGGAGGGTCTGCGAGACTTCAGCAAGCCTCCCGTCCAGTCCAGCGGGTGGGTCCGGCAGGACACCCAGACCTGCCAACTGGCCTTCACCCAGGCCCCGTCCCAAGTGGCCAGCAAGTGTTTCTAGCCAAGTTCACAGGTGCAGAGAGCCTCCATAAACCAGCCTGACCATCCCAGAGCATCTGCTCTCTGTTTGCTGTATCCACCACTTGCTATAAGCCTCACCGCTGTACCCTACAACCTCAGCGCCAAATGACCCCCGAGCTGGTGCAGAGCCTCCAAGCAGGCCACATCCAGCGTCCAGGAAGACCCCTCCCACCCAGCCCAGCCACAGCTTCCAGCCCAGAGCTGGGGCAGGTGGGAGGACAAATGAGAAAGCTCAAAACTGGAGCCTAGAATGCCAACTTCTCCAGAAACTCCAGGCGTCAGCATCAGCTCCAACTTAGCCTCCACTTTAGGGTGGTCCCAGGGGCCACCAAGCCAGGGCACCAGAGGGACTACAGCCAGCCAGCCCAGCTACCCAGGTGCAAAGCCTCCAGGCCGGTCCTTCGGCTGCTGCCCTCGGCTCGAAGGCACAGGAGCTGGTGCTGTGCAGACGCAGCCAAGGCCTGCTCGTGCTCCAGTCTCGGCCTGACGGCAGCCGAGGGCAGCCCGACGGCAGGGCGTGCTGGATGCCCGAGAGGTGCCAGCCCACACACCATGTTTCACAAGCACGCAGCAAGCCCGGGCCCAGGCCTGGCACATGAGTTCTCGGTAACGCAGTCTCCCCTGTAAACTCACGAATGTGCTCCGTGAAAGCACGTCCCATAACGAGACAGAGTCCGCCATGGAGGTCTTCTAGCTCATCGACACATCTGGGCTCGCTAGCAGCCCCCCTTCACCGGCTCCGACCTCCGCCCGCAAGCACTGCCCTGAAAGGCAGCGATGCGGTGACTGCGGCCGGGCCACAGACGCCGAGGCTGCGAGGAGCCGCAATGCCAGGCCCGGGAGGAAGGCAGGCTCCGGCTCCTGGGCAGGTGTGCGGCGGCGGCGGCGGCGGCGGCAGCGCCTGGCTCCGGAGCCGGCTCGGGAGCCCCCGCCACCTCGAGACGGAAAGTTGGCTGGAGTTGGGAGGACGTCTGGTGTCTATAAAAACGTTCCTCCCTGGGGAGCCTCTGGAGACAGACTCCAAGATACTTCATTCTTTTCCTTATTTGCCGCTCTGAAAAATAAGCTGTTCCTCCTATTCCGAAATGGAATATGGGTCCAAACCTTCCACAGTGAACGGTGACCCAAAGAAAAAGGTCACCAGATCCAAAACATTTCTCATCTGGCCAACGGCCCAAAGCAACTCGACGCTGTTTATGTGGTTCGAGCCGAGCTCTCCCGGGGGTGGAAGCCTGACCCAGCACTGCCACGGCCCGTCGTCGGAGTCCCGGGAAGAGGCTGAGAGGCAGGAAGCTTCTCGCTCCCCCGGTGGGCCCTCCTGGGTGTGCCCCTCCCAGCCCCAGCAATCTTCACCCCAGGAGAAAACACCCGCCCACTGAGCTGTGCGGGTGTCGGCCCCAGGCCCCCGCGAGGCCCACCCGGGGAAAACAGGTGTCCTCAAAGGCGAGCGCAGGACAGAAAAGGGCCCTCCCACCCCCACCCCACCCCACCCCCACGCCCCGCCTTGGCCAGCAGCCCAGGTAGTACGAAGCGATGGCTCGTTCCTGCCTTCACCACAGGGTCCTCAGCCGGACATCTCCTGTACCGGCAGCCACAGGACATCCGTCACACTCGACAACCCACCGGCCTGGCGTGGGCCCCGGCGCCTCCCAGGCTTCCACCCCATACCTGCGCTGAGTGTGTGGGCTCGCCAGGCCACCCTCATCTGCATGGGGTGCAGAGGTCCCACTCCCCACTTTTCTCCCAGCTGCACACATCCACGCACCCTTCACACCCATCAGAGTCCTGTGCAGGGCGACGGGCCTCAGCTTGGCCCAGGCCAGCGCAGGGCCCGTTCTGGAGGGCCCGCTGGGAAGACAGCACACACTCCCGGGCCAAGTCCCACCGGAGCAACTCGCCTCAGACAGGTTTGCCTTTAAACTCACGGGAGAGGCCAGCACTTGGTCAATGTACCATGTCCACCTGAAGACATGTCCTGAGGCTATGCGGAGACCCCCAGGTGGGAAACACGGAGCAACAGACAGACGGACGGGTGGGAGGTGGGCACAGGAGGCAGCAGAAAGGCCGTGGCAGAGGCCGGCGCAGACACTGATGAGCAGAGTGCAGCAGCCACGGAGGGGTCTGCCCTCTTCCTGCGGCCATGCCTCCTCGGGCCAGCACGTCTGCAAACGTGGAGTCCCCGTCTTTCCCACAGAATCTCGGAAGATGCTCAAGAACGGGTTTGAGCAACAATTCAGAGGAGCACCTACAGTGCTTGTAGAACCCCCCATGTCAGTCCACAAGCTGGGTGTCCCCAAGACACTGCTTCTGAGGACATATCATCCGTCAGCCTGAAATGGGGGTGTCACATGCAGGGAAGGTGAGGAGGCTCCCCAGTGGCTCCTCCCCAACACTTACTGCACACATGACATGAGAGTCTGCCAGGCTGGCTTGGGGAAGCTCCTACCCACTGGGGAGCTCCAGTCACTGCCCCCATCCCTGCATCTCCTAGGTGAGAGCTGCCTCCAAGGGCAGAGGGGAAACAGGAGAGGCTCCAGCCCCGTAGGAACTCCTGAGCCAGGACCACGCCTAGGCCCCCCCAGGAGCTGAGGGTCTGAGCTCATGATCCCCCTTCCTTCCCTCCCTTCTAGAAACAGGAACAGAAGAGAGGAACTGTGGTGGTTTGGGCCCAGGCGGGCAGCCAGTCTTTACTGGGGCCCGCCCTCTGTGCCCCTAGAAAGCTTACAGCCCGAGAGGTGCACCTCCCCCTCGTGTGGTTCACCAGATGAGGTCAGCATGCACACCTGCAAATACCCCTCACTTGTACCTTTAGCGTGTTCTGCACTCAGACCACCTGCCACACTTCCCAGAACAGGGGGTGTGAGCCGAGGGACAGCCCAAGGCGAACCTGCCGCCGCAGCGCCCATCACGGCGGACTGCCGCCGTCGGCCGCCCACCCTGAGCAAGCGCCCTCAAGGTGCCAGGAGACGCCCGCTGGTCAAGGCACCAGCAGCCTGCTCCCACCCCAGGAACTGGGGCCGCCCGGAAAGGACAGAAAGGAGAAGTAGCCACTCTTCTCAAACCACTCGCACCAACAGGGAGACCAGCCGCCCGAGTGACGCTCCCACACCACCACCGCATCGCCGAGAGCTGGTGTCCGTGTCGGCAGCCACACATCACTGGAGGTGGGCAAAGGGGGTCAGACGTGATCGACATGACCACTGGGCAGCACGGGCCAGCTCGTCTTGCCAGGAAGCTACAGCTTCACACACTCCGGGGGATCACACTGCACTGCCCTGCCAAAGGGGAGCACCTCGCTCCTCTCTCAGGTTCCAGCCTGTCAGGGGGAGCGTGCACGCGAGCCACAGAAGTCAAAATGAGCAGCAGTAGGTGCCTGACCACAGAGGGCTGTCAGTCCAGCCTAGGGAAATACTAGACTGGTTGGCTGGTAGGCAGGCCCAGTACAAGCCTACAAAAGATTGAAAAGTTAATTGGTTATTTTGAAAAAGCTTCTGGGCCTAGCCAGGTGGCTCAGTCGGCTGGAACATCTCCCTGTGCACCCAAAGTGTGTGTGTTCAATTCCCGGTCGGGGCACACAGCTAGCCGTCAGGTTCAACCCCCAGTCAGGGTGCACACAGGAGGCAACCAGTCAA